AGAGTAAATAAATAGAGCACTTAAACAAATTCGAAATTTAACAAAGAGAAAGCAAGTTCCTAGATGTGGTTATTGATTTGGGGGATTTAAAGACTAACTAAGGTTGTTTCAAGCATCATTGATCAAGCAAACAAGCTAGCAATGGTGGTTCTTAGACATAGAGTTCACAAACAAGCAAGCTAAATTCAATCTCTTGATAAATAGCCCTTTGCTAAACACCTTAACAAGAACTAACTCTCATTAGTACTAAAGCATTCAACAAGCATTAATAATTAACTTTATTCCTGTCAAAATGCTCCTCAAACAGTCAATCTCTTAAGCCAAGGCCAGCAAATCCTCTATCAAACAAGATCAGCATTTCATCATACATTTGGTAGGCATAAGAGAAAGCCTAAATCCTAGATAAGTGTGATCAAGACAAATCTAGCTTAAGAACAGATCAATAGAGAGGAACCCATGTTATTAAGCACTAAGCAAACCTTAATCAATCCTTAAATCCCCTTAATCTACCACATCTAAGAACCCTAAGCAAACTACTCACTAATAGCCATGTTTAACACCAAATCACAAGATGAAAAGATGCTAATCATGATTAAAAGAGAGATTAAGGAAAGATTAATGGCAAATACAAACTTATATTAAATAAAGCAAGAAATTTGTCTTACAAACTCAAAGAAATAATTCAAGAACAGTGATATGACATGACTGCTCGAAAATCCCTAGAAAAATAGTATTTACACATAAAGGAGGAAGCCCTAAAAGTAATGGCAAAAGTGTAATAAAAAGCAGCTCCATACTGGGTTCCTATTTGTCAGTTGTGACCGATATGGTGATCGATAGGAATTCTATCGGTCTAGAAGGTGACCGATAGGGTGACCGGAATTCTCACGGTAAACTTCTATCGGTCATTTCTTTGACCTATAGGTTTGGTCGATAGTTCTTCTATCGGTCACTCCTTGACCGATAGACTCTGGAAAAATATTTGATTACAGTTTAAAAAATGACTAGAAATTAACTAATTTAAAAATATTGTAATTTTTTGGTTTTGAAAAAATTCAATAGAAAAATCCATACTATTATTTGAGAAGCCATTCAACATTTAAACACATTTCATGTGTTATATTTCATGAAATGTCATTAATTTTTTTGTTTTTTCTAAAAATTCATTAATTGTAATTTAGTCATTTGTTAATACAACCAATTAATTTTTATTTTCTTTTTTCTTTATTTAATTCTTATATATCTATTACCAAACACATTAGTTTTCAAATATTATTTAGGTTAGTTTAACTCCCATTACCAAACACATTAAATAATTTTAAATATAAAAAAATAATTATTTCAAAAATTCTAATTAATATTAGAGTTAATTACACCCAAATTTATATAACACGAATTGACAATTATAATTACTATATACATTTATGATTAAATCATAAATATTTATACAATATAAAACATTTTGCAAAATAAATATAACAAAATATATTTTTCACATATTTATTATTCTGACAATATAATAGGCCAAACAAATATGTTAATAAAAAAATAAAAATTATAATTACTATAAATATATATAATTAAATTATATACATTTACACAATATAAAATAATAATTATATTCTTATTATTAAGCAATAACATAACCACACATATGTTAGGAAAATAAACTAAGACATCATTTTATGAATAATTATATATTATTTATTATATGTTTAGTGCAATCTAATATCAATTTAGTTTTTGATTAAATTAATTCAAATTTACAAAAATCATGATCAAAATTATAAGCACTATGATTAATTAAAAATAAATGATTACACTAAATATTCTGATATTTTATTAATACTCAGATCACGAAAATTATGGAATAAGCTTCCCGAATAAAAATCAAAATATTTTTAGTTAAAAAACAGTAACTGCATAAATTTAAAACATATTCTAAAAACATTGTTTTAGAATATTCTCAAAAACATTCCAAACAATATTAATATTTTTGATTGTAGATGTAATAATATACTAATAATTAAAAAAATCAGTAAATTAATAAAAAGATTTTCATAATTCACAATTAACAAAATAAAAACTATTTATTATAATATTATTTCAACAAATTATGAGGGAAATGAAGACAGTAACTCACATTATCTCTTTTTTCTAATTTGTTTTGGCTACAATTGTTCTCCATTTATATTTTCTAAAAGAAATGTCTTTGCAAACATCAACACTTTTTAGTCGAAATTAATTTCTTATGTGTTAAATGTATTTTTTCAGTTTGTTTACTATGTATATAGTTGTTATCTTAAATCTCTTTAGCTTTACATTTATCATTTATTTGTTTGAGATAGAAAGAGAGGAAGAACAAATAAGAAAGAGTAGAAGAATGAGGAGAATAAGGAGAAGATATGGATGAGAAGAAGAGTGGATGAAAAAAAATAACAACAGAGAAGAAGAAGGAGAAAAAAAAAGAGAAGAACATGAGAAGAAGGAGAAGAGGTGATGAAGAAGAAGAAGGAAAAGAAGGAATAATAAGAAGGGGTGAAAAATAAGAAAAACGAAAGAGAAGAAGGAGAAGTGAAGAAGAAGAAGAAGAAGAACAATAGAGAAGATGAAAAAAACGGAAAATGAGAACAGGGAAGAAGGAGAATAAATGAAGAAGAATAAGACATGAAGGAGGAAGAGAAGAAGAAGAAGAAGGGAGAGGAAGAATAACAAAGGAGAAGGAGAAGAATAAGAAGAAGGGATGAAAAGAAGAAAGGATGGAGGAGAAGACTAAGAAGTAACCAAGAGTAGTTAGCTCGACTGGTAAAAGAAGAAGAAGACATGAAGGAGGAAGAGAAGAAGAAGAAGAAGAATGGAGAGGAAGAATAACAAAGGAGAAGGAGAAGAATAAGAAGAAGGGATTAAAAAGAAGAAAGGATGGAGGAGAAGACTAAGGAGTAACCAAGAGTCGTTAGCTCAACTGGTAAAAGATCTAGGCAAAGCTTAGAGATCACATGATCGAATGATGTTTGGGGTGAAACTAATATTACATGATGTGGTTTTGGGACTACAGAGATTGCAGGCTTCGGCCCAGAACCTCATGGTAATCTAAAAAAAGGAAGAAGGAGAAATACGGAGAAGAATAAAGGAGAATAAGAAAAACGAAGGATAAAAAAGGAGAAGGAGAAGAATAAAAATAAACAAAAGGGAGAGAAGAAGAAAAGATGAAGAAGAAGAAGCAGGAGACACATAAGGAGAAGAATAAATTGTTGGGGACGGTTTCCACCATGACGAGATCAATAAAGAAAAGGTTAAGTTTGAAAATGAGCCTAGCCAAACCAGAAAGGCGATAAGCCAGACTGACAAGCCGAATTGGCAAACCACCGAGCCGAACCAGCGAACTGCCGAGCATAAACAACGAGTTGGGTCGATAAAGACGGATGAAACCATTCATGTTCGCCGAACCAGATAGGTGGACCGGAGCAACAAGATAGACCAAACTAATGAGTCGAGGTCGGTAAGGATGTGTCAAACCATTTAGTTGTCAAACCAGAGAGATGTGCCAAACCGGAGAGACGAGACGAATCAGCCGGTTAAACCGAACCAACAAAATTAACCAAGTGGGAACCGATCTATTTTTCTGATGGGCCTAGGTGATGATGAACGAAGCCCAATATAAAGCAATAAACATACGAGCTGAGTCATAAGCCCAAAAAGACATCTAAAAGCAGGATTTTCCCTACAAGAACTTAGCCTTGCAGAAGGGGATTTGTAAAAAAGAAATAGAAAGAAATCTATGACTATATTCATCGAGATTTCCATTTAGATTGTAGAGAGATATGTATAAATAGGAGACATGATCTATTGTAAAAAGGACAGCTGGAAAACCTAAAAAAACACTTGATCAAAAACTTAACAAAATAGCAATAACAAAAACTCCATCTTTGTATCTGTGTTCTTGTGTTTATCTTAGAATCTTCAAGTTCCTCTTTTATTTTTCTGAACTAAACTATATTGTGTGAATTCCACCTCACACAGGGATAAAGGAGAAGAAGAAGTGATTAAGAAGAAGAAAGAAAAAGATTTGAAGAAAGAGAAAGAAGAAGAACAACAATGGATGATAAGAAGGAGAAAAAAAAATTATACGAAGAAGAAGAAGAAGTAAAAACAAGGAGAAGGATGATGAAAAGAAAGAGAATAACTTATGCATTTGATTTATTGAGAAAAACATAAGTTAATAGATAAATTATATTGTTACTAGAAAACTAAATATATTTTTATCATAAGAGATAAATATTTTGAAATAAAAACAGTAGTGTGATTAAAAAAATTACAACTAAATATTAACCTGTAAAAAATATACTACAACATAAAAATATAAATTTTATATAAAATCAGTAATATATCATATATTTAATATAAACTTGTGTGTTTATAAAATTATCTTAAATTCTCATAACACATATAATAAATATATAACTCATATAATTATTGAAGAAATATATTTTAAATCTCATTTTTTATATCATATTTTACAAATTATATACTTTACTTTTCAAAAATCATATACCTGCGCGGACGCGCATGTCCAAAATATAGTTACTATAAAAATGTAAATAGTATGAAGTTCAAAACGTTGTTCATGATAAATTCTATTCAATGTTATTTAATCTCTATACTATGTTTTTCTATTGGATCACCTCTCCTATATATACATCACTGCACACCATTTCTGAAAGCAACAAAAAAAAATTTATCATCGAAAAAAGTATAAATTTAAAAAATGAGTAGCTTTTGTTTTTCTTATCATTGGTTTTCTGTAGTTCTTTTAAAAAAGTTTCACATCTATTATTTTATAAATTCTTTTTTTTGTAATTCATATGTTCATTTTTTGTATTTCATATAATTTATAAATCATTTACATATATCATATATATTATATTATTTAATGTTTATATAAGATGATTATTTGCATTATATATGTGAAAAATTGTTAACATGTTTTTTTTTTCTTTTAGGATGGAAACTAGAGAAACGTCACAAACAAAAAATTCAAAAGGTGGATATTTTCCATGGACACTCCAAGAGAGTCAACTTTTGAAACGTTTAATCGTTGATGGTATCAAACGAGGATGGCATGATTCAAATGGTTCCATAAGCAAATCAATGGTGGAGACAAAGATATTGCCGATTCTAAATATAACAACTTGGATACAAGAAGACATACAACTAATACGTAAATCGAATGAAATATTTGAAAAAAGAATATCAAAATTATGCAAAACTTTTCCGATGTAGCTGTAGTTTTGGATGGGATCCCACCACAAAACAATTTACAGCTTCAGAAGAAATACGAGAATAATATTTAAGAGGTAATTTCTTTTAAAAATATTTAAGGATAATTTCTTTTAACTCCTCTAAATAGTTTTATTAATTTTGATATTTTTTAATAGTGTTTTTTACTAATGAATATATCATATTTTTTTATTAGAGACATCCAAATCATCAATACATGCGGAATAACACTTTTGATGATTTTGAAGATTTACAAATCATTTTTTTAAAGTGCTATAGCAAAGGGAAACAATGCATTTGGTCTTGGATTTGGATTAGGCATTGATGCAATTGCTGAAATGAGTCAACTTTTGAAACGTTTAATCGTTGATGGTATCAAACAAGGATGGCATGATTCAAATGGTTCCATAAGCAAATCAATGGTGGAGACGAAGATATTGCCGATTCTAAATATAACAACTTGGATACAAGAAGACATACAACCAATACGTAAATCGAATGAAATCTTTGAAAAAAAAATATCAAAGTTATGCAAAACTTTTCCGATGTAGCTGTAGTTTTGGATGGGATCCCACCACAAAACAATTTACAGCTTCAGAAGAAATACGAGAATAATATTTAAGAGGTAATTTCTTTTAAGAATATTTAAGGGTAATTTCTTTTAACTCCTCTAAATAGTTTTATTAATTTTTATGTTTTTTAATAGTGTTTTTTTACTAATGAATATATCATATTTTTTATTAGGGACATCCAAATCATCAATACATGCGGAATAACACTTTTGATAATTTTGAAGATTTACAAATCATTTTTTGAAAATGCTATAGCAAAGGGAAACAATGCATTTGGTCTTGGATTTGGATTAGGCATTGATGCAATTGCTGAAATTTTTGAAGTTGAAACTAATGTTCAAGAAAGAGAAGATGTGGAGAATGTCACCGAGACTGAAATAGTCTGAAGCTTCTAAAGAAAAGTTACCTTCCAGGAAGAGAGCTAAACCCAATGGTACCTAAGGAAAATCCATTAAGTCTATTAATTCCAGTGATCGTTCTAAAATGGTGCTAAGTGAATTGATTGGTGTCGGCACTAATATCATGAATCTTATTCAACAAAAAGAAGAAAGGCATCAAAAAGAAGTTGAGTTAAGAGAAACTAAGAAGAAAAAGAGTAATGTTTGGGATGCTATCAAAGAGATTACTGGTTTGGAAGAGCATATCCGCTATGATGCAGTAACTAAGATTCACACGGTAAAGATGAAAGATGTATTTGTTATCATATCCGTTGAAGAATGCTTGGGTTGGATTCGCCATAATGTTTAGGCTTTTAGCTATGCATCTAATAAAATTCAAATATGAATTTGAATAATTATTCTAGTTTTTTGTTTTTTTTCTTATCTCAAATAATAGCTTCTGTAATTGAAGACAAATTAATAAAAAATTTGTTTTAAAATAAACTATTTACTTTTTTTAAATGGTTAATTATCTTACTATATTTTATAAAAAAAATTCCAATTGAATCTACTTTATCGATCAAATATTACCTTATTGTAACAATCTATAACTATTAATATCTTTTCAAATCCTAACAAACAAAATAGAGACAAATTACATTATTTCAAAACAAGATTATATTAAACGTGTAATTTAACAATACTATACAAAACAAGATTGCAAAATTTAACAACTCATTTCGAACTTCCAAATGAAAATATAAATTTGCTTATTTTTTTTAAATATAAAGTTGTTTGATTTTTAGTCAACAATGTCACACTATCTTTTTAAAATAGTATTGTTTGTAATCGCTAAAAAATAGTATTTACAATCTATTTCAAACTTCCAAATCCAAAACAATACAGTAATACACATCCTTTATTTTTTTTTATTAAATATAAAATTGTTTCATATATTCGTCAGCAATATCATACTATCCCTTAAAAATAGTATTGTTTGAAGTGAACCAATATCCTATGGTCCATAAAAAGTATTAGGCCAAATCCAAGGGACATATTATATGAACCACACAAAAAAAACCAATTTCTAGTGAAGATTTATTTATATTTTTGCATATATTTCCAAATAAATATTAGGTAACTACAAGAGTTAATCAATTAAATGTGAGTTACAAAGAATTAAAAAATATCTCTTAAAAAACGTCAAGCCCGTACAAAACACCCGCGTGTTTTTCCGGTCCATCCTGAAGGAAATACAAATCTCTTATCCTCTGAAACGCATGCCACGTAAGCAAACTGTCTGAACCGGCTTGGTGACATTTTCCAACTACCCGGTTAACCTCAAGCGTCCGCGCGACCCGGTCTAAACCACCGTACAATCTCCTCTCGCAAAATCTCATCATATGCTTAATGTCGTACACGCGCCCCCCAAACAACGCTCTGATCACGCGCTGAAACTCACCCAACACGCAGGAAAGTTCCCGGCGCGTGAGAATCTTCATCAGGTAACCAAAATCATACGCGCTGTGGAAAGTCACCCAGCTCACATCCTCGTTGCAGACGAGCCCCGACGACATCATCAGCTCCGCGAACCTCTCAGAGTCAACTCCGTCGCGGCGGTTACGCTCGAAATCGATTGCCTGCCGGAGCGTGCGCATCACGCGCCACGTTGAAATTCTTAAAGTTGAACTCCCAGATGAATCGTCGGCCTCCGCCGCCGAGATCGGGGAGGTTTCCGTTGGCGTCGGAGAGAGTAAGACCGACCTGTATAAGGCTTAGCACGTCGATGTTGGATTTGAGGAGACTGTAGAGTTCGGCGGGGTTTTCACGGCGGAGATCCGATTTGAAAATCACGCCAGGAAACTCAGTGTCCATCGAAATGAATGGATAATCGTCGACGATTCCGCTTATCAGCTCAAACTCCACTTCGAGATTCTCTGCCCAAACTTCGCGAATCACGACGGTGCCGCCTGGTTTGTATCTCGGACTAGAGAGATCCGTATCCAAATTGATGATCATCATTACAAAAAATGAATTTAATTTTCAAATTATTGACAAAACTAGCTTCTGAGTGTTCGTTCGTCTTTGATATTTGATTTGGGTAAAGAGTCCGTATATATTTGTGTGTTGATAGAGTGAAGATGTTGCGAGGAAGAAGACGAGAAACGCGTCAAGTAAACGTAACTCTGTATCTTGACTCGGTCCAACTTGGCCTCTCCATTATTGAAACACGACGTAAACTAATTATTCCTTTCGATATTTTTCACTTGCATCATATGATGTGAACATATATATTTGGAATTTGGGTACATACACATACAATGTATGTGTAGTAAACAAACTTACAAACTCTTCATAAATAATGTTTGTTCAGATGATACTAATATCTGATTCATTGAATCTTCATGTTAGACGTTAATTCATATAGGAACAAAGTACAAACTTCTAAGTTATTTGTGTAATGTCAATTTTAACAGTAAATATACCCCCTTTTAGAAAAATATTAAGTACTTAATTCATTTGGACGGACTGCAAAAAGGAAACTATCTCTCAAGTTGCTGGAAAGAGTCTAAACTCCAAGTGTGTTGCGTATGTAAATCGTGTCAGAAATCACAATTAAAATATTTTATTTATTTATCAATGATCACTGTCACCTACACACTTTCCGAATCCTTAAAACATCCACTGTGGCACTGTAGTGTTTGCGTTTTAGCCACTTGCTAAATTTTTGGTACTTTCAAGGTGAATCTAAACTAATACAAGATCAAAAATAGAAAAGACATCTCTCATGTGTTTGCATGAACATGCTTGTCAAGAAAAGCCTTAGCCAAGTTACTAAAACTTACGCTAACCGTTTCAGCGGCTGCGTACCTCTCAATGAGATCAACCACTTCTCCCCTCACAATCTCTTCTCTTGTTGCTCTGTTAAAGCCCCCAAAGTGTAATTCACCTATCCGGAAACAATAAAACGATTTTATAACAATTAGTGTACTCACAGTGTTCCTGACAGGGCTTAATAACAATTAGTCATAAGAGAAATCTCATCAGCCTCAACAATGATAGCAGCATTTTTTGGCTCTGCACATTAATTTGATGATCAGTAATTGCAATTATGGCAAAAACCAAAATACTTTAGCAAATTAAAGGCTTTTTAACCAGCACAAACGTTGCATATTCCTCCTATCCCGAATTCTACAAGCTTCTCATTTGGCTCTGTTATACAGTCTAAGAATAGCTCCAAAACATTTAGCTGCTCCAGTACACATAATCAAAATTCCATCATAACACCAATCAAGATATTTTGGAAAATGATAGAACATGAAACTCGAGATTACCTGACGTAAAATAGTGTAGTTGAAAGGATCATAGGCAAAATTCGCCAAGTTTGCGACAATTATCTCCTTTGTTTATGCATGTTCAAGACAATAATCATGTTAATATATTCATACTTGTTAAACTGTAAGAGAGAAAACCAGAGACATACTAGCTTAGGCTTGGTAAACTAGAGCCGAACAGAAGCATTTGAAAATGATGACATCAAATTGCCATAAGGCGGAAGCAAGTATTGTCGTTAGATAATCTACAGAACCTAAAATTTTAAAGTAAGACACAAAATGCTAACGTTTTTGCAGGGTTTCCATGTTCTATGAAGCATATTAAGAAATGTTAAACGCGTAACTGATAGAGTTAGCTTATACGAAGAAGGAATTGAGAAGAATGAAGTATGTATTGAAGAATAACTCGATTACAGAAATGCAGAATCAGATCTCATAACGATCTGTTCTTGAGCTCATCGCGCCCATATCTCAGCTCGAAGCTTTGATTTACAATTCTCTAATTCGATACTCTGTAACAAACGTAACCATATTCTTTTTATACAATTACAATTATTTAACAGCTCCAATAACTGCCTTCCACTTCAGCTGCCAACTCAGCGTTGACTAATCTTCCTCTGTTATCTCACTCGTCTTCCTCTTCCTATAATACGTCTTGTGTAACGTATCAATACTCTCTCCGTCGAGACCAAGCTTGCCCTCAAGCTTGTAAGAAGGAAAATGCTGGATGAATTCACGATACGGTACCCACGACGTCTCATGATCCAACAAACCCTGCCATTTGACCAAATATTATAAACCACCCTTATCATCGTAACTAGAGGCTAACACATCTTCGGGAATCAGTAGCAATGTCTCTAAGTTCGACGTATCAGGAGGAATCTCTTGCACTATCTGATCGCTACCAAGTGCTGCCTTGAGTTGGGATACGTGGAATACCGGATGTATCTTTGCATCCGCAAGTAAGCGTAAACGATATGCTACTCTACCGACGCGTTCTATGATCTCATATGGGCCAAAGAATTTCGCTGCTAACTTCTGACAGAATCGACGCATTACCGTTTGTTGTCGATACGGTTTGAGCTTCAAGTACACCATTGTCCCCACCTCAAACTCCACGTCGCGTCTATGTTGATCTGCCTGATTCTTCATCAACTCCTGAGCTTTCAACAAATGCGACTTAATCTGTGTCAACATCATATCCCTTTCGCGCAGTGACTCTTCGAGATCAAAGTTTTTAGTCGAGCCTGCTTCATAACGCAAGATCGCTGGTGGTTCTCTCCCATAAACAACCTGAAATGGAGTTGATTTCAGCGATGAATGGAATGATGTATTATACCATAGCTCCGTCCACGGTAAGTACTTGCACCACGTACGCGGGTGAGCAGAAGTATAACATCGGAGATATGTTTCCATACAGCGATTCAGAACCTCCGTTTGCCCGTCAGTTTGTGGGTGAAAAGCTGTACTGTAACTAAGCTTCGTGCCTGCCAAACGAAATAATTCCTTCCAGAAGCCGCTGAGGAAAATACGATCACGATCTGATACAATTGTTCTCGGAAAACCGTGTAGGCGCACTATCTCCTGCATAAACCTGGAGGCTACATCCACCGCCGTAAACGGATGTTTCAGTGTGAGGAAATGACCATATTTGCTGAGTCTGTCCACCACAACCATAACCACATTAACCCCTTGTGACGTTGGTAAGCCTTCTACAAAATCCATGGAGATATCTTCCCACACTCGTTCTGGAATGGGTAAGGGTTGCAAGAGTCCCGCTGGAGACAGAGTAGAGTATTTGTGAGTTTGACACACCGAGCATTCCGCAATATAACGCTGCACCCTTTTGTACAATCCTTCCCATTGAAACATTTGTTGAATCTTCTTGACTGTTTTCAGGACTCCTGAATGTCCCCCGGTTTTGCTATCATGACATTCGTATAATATCAACGGAATGGAAGCTGAAGATTTTGGAATGACCAATCTTTTCTTGTACCACAGTCTCCCCTCAATCACGTGATACTGCGAGCTGTCACCTGTCTTCGACAATATCCTCTGGATCGTGTCCTGTATAACTTTGTCCTCAGCAATTTCCTTATAAATGTCGTGTAGCTGGAGTACTGACGGGACTGTTATTGCCATCAACATGGTTGTCAGTTCACTGTACTCTGTAGATTCAATGCGGGACAATCCATCAGCCGCTTGATTCTCTTTACCCGGCTTATATACTATTTCAAAATTGAACCCCAGCAGTCGAGTGAGCCATCTTTGATATTCCATGTTGACTTCTTTCTGTTCCAACAAGTATTTTAAGCTTCTCTGATCTGTGTGAACCACAAACTTTCGTCCCAGTAGATAATGCTTCCATTTCAATATTGACATCACCACTGCCATCAATTCTCTCTCATATGCTGGTTTTAGCTGTTCTCTAGGTGTTAGCCCATGGCTGAAAAAGGCGATTGGTCTCTTATCTTGCATTAACACTGCCCCGACACCAAATCCGGATGCATCTGATTCAATCACGAACTGTTTCTCAAAATCTGGCAGAGCTAAAACTGGTGCCGAGATCATCGCTTGTTTTAAGTTCGTAAAACTGGTGCATCTCTTTTTGTTTAGATATTGACCCATCTTATGCCCAAGTACAGAGTCCTTAAAATCATACTGCAAATCAGCAAGGTTGTCAATGGATAAAATAATATCAAGAAAGCACCAAAAGCCATTCTGTGCGACAAATACATTCTAAATGTTCAAACAGATGCATGAACACATACCTTCATCAGTGGAATTCTGAAACTGACTCACCAGCTCCTGCAATTTAAATAGGGACAGACTCAACTCCAACAATACTTCTTAGATTCCCACAAAAACAAATATCTCACAGACATCTACCAAACTCAGATTCACTAACAGGTTCTACACAAAACTGAGACTTTCCCTTTTGTATTTCAGTTTATCTCTACGAGGAAACATCGATGTATAATGGTTCAAACAAGTTCAAAAAGCGATTTTTCAAAAGACCAAGAAGTAACCATTATTAACATAAATAACTCACTTTAAAGAAGTACACACATTCATACAACTTCCACATTTTCCAGAATCTCTAATCAGGTGAAAACATATAAAGATTCCAAAACAGATTCCTTCAAAAATTAAAAAAAAAAAATTACCTGTAGATATTGAAGCCTTGGTGTTCCGTATTTTCCAGTACGCTGTTCTTGTCTTTGATTATAAGTAAACTGATAGGATCCTAAAATGGCATTACTGGGCCATTTATGTTTATCTCATTTATTAATTGTTTTAAGCCCATTAGAGTTGATATATGTAACAAGAAAACTCATTGTCGAGTTATCGAATCGATCAACAAAATATTATTCTCAATCTTCTCTCTATCTCTCTCTTCTTCTTCCTCTCTTCTTCTCTTCCTCTTCTCTTCTATTTCTTCTGTTTCTCATCTATTTCTTCTAATTCTATCATCCAATCGCTTGATAGATTTTGGTATCTATCAATTGGTGCTCTCATTGAGAGAAAACAATGGCTTCCTTATCTGTGTCAGCTATCGTTACAGATACGAGATCAGTTTCTCCAGAACTCGAGACAGGTTGGGATATCAATTGGGATCAATCCACGGAAGACCTAAGACAGGGGATGCTGGTGTATGCATCCAGGCAAAACGGTAACGACAGAAAGTTTTGGGTAGATCTTCTCAAGCAACGATTCGGAGAAGACTATGACCGATAGTACCTGCCTCCGACGCGGGCTAAAGAGCACCAGAAGATGCCAGAACTTCCACGAACACAAGAGACAAGTAGGGAAGATCAGATTTCAATGGAAACTTCAAAGGTATCTCTTGGGATTTTCGTCGAACAGTTGGCGGGTCCTCAACCATCAAAAGTTTTTAGCGATCCATCAACCATCGCAGACCAAAGTCTCAGTGTTAGAAAGATCCCAGTTGAAAGAAGGTACCACAGGGTGAGGAAACGTAAATCGCAGAAGAAGCACCAAGCTCTCCTAACTTCAACAATCATTGAAGGATTTACACTGAAGCGGGGTAAGCGATTTCGATCAAAACGTCGTAATAGTGACGCTCAGATGAGGATTGAAGTTGGGCAGGAACAAATGGTTCATCATAGATTCGATAGAGCTTCCAGAATTTCAGAACAAAAAGATAATGATATTGAAGATGGTTTAGAAGAATGGATTGTTGGTAACAGAACAAATAGAGAACATGGATTAGTTTTTTTGTGAATCTGAGTTGCCGAAGGTTACAAAGGTGAGAGATCGACATGGATACAATGCATTCTGTGTGGATAGCAAATACCCCAAGGTTCGTAAGAAAGAAGGCAAAAGGAGACGTCAGAAAAGGAATGGTGAGTGTCTAGCTATGTCAAATTTAAAGACTTTTGTGAGCTTTGCGAAGATGATCCTTGGCGTGCACAATTTCAAAGTGAAGAAATGGAATTTCAGGGGTGAGAAGGAATCCACAAAGTATCCACCACGACGTGATCTGATACAAGCTTTACAAGGCTATGGTAAGCGGCCTCGTGATCCAGGTCGACATCGAAGTGAAGTATATTCTGAGCAAATGGGGATACAAGCTTGCAAAAGCATTAGTCACTCAGTTTGTAGCGATTCATTAGAAAGAGCACCCTTCAGTCCATATTCACGTTTCTCAGCTCAGTTTAGATTATGGTTTAAGAAGGTCATCAAAGGGGATAGTGTTATGAAGTTAGAAGAAAATGATGGTAGAGTTCAAATGGCAGTGAATTCAAGGTATCATGGGTGTTCTGCTTCTGATATACAAGCACTGCTCGTTGAACACTGTTTAGAGGTGCATGAGTTTATTAGAACTCAGGGAAGTGCTGAAGATACAATAGCTGTGGTTTTTGATCCGGGCGGTGTTTTGCAAGAGAGTGGTAGTATTCACGGAAGTGTTTATGCTACTATAGCTGTAGCTTTTGATTCGAGAGGGGTCCCACAAGAGATGATAATTGACGAGGTGTTAAGGTTATTGAAATGTTTTGGTACTGATAATAGAAGCTTGGAGACAGAAGCGAAACAGATATTGCGTGTTATACATCAGCGTCTAGAGCTTCAGAAGTTGTCATGGTCTGAGAAACTTTATGGAATGAGAGATTTGCTACAATATTTAGAGAGTGAGAATCAAAGAGAAACTTGCAAATCACCCTCGAGCTACGGTGCTGGTTGGGACAAGCTGATTGGGTGGATACATGTTCACCTTGGTGAGAACCGGAGCCAAGAAAATGCTACGCTAGAAGTGTTAGAACAGATTCACGATTCTTCACGAGAGTTTAAGCTTGCTTCAGGTTGTGTCTTGATCTTACGACTGCATACCCTCCAAGTGGAGCTGTTTTTGTTGACCGTTACCTTCATCCACCTTGAGGACAAGGTGTATTTTGCAGGGGCGAGTAAAGATATAAGTAGAAGATGGGTTGGTGGAGCAGTCACGAAGAAGTTAAGGAATCTTATGATAACAATGCTCTCGGGTTTAAAGAGGTTGTGGTGTTTCCTGGAAAGTGAAGAAAAGAGAAATGCTCCCACAGAAACAATGACACGACGGGGAGCTGATACTTGAGACCTAACTATGATCTGCTGTGAAGCCGGAGTTTACAAGCACCAAAGAGACACATCAAGCATGAAACATAATCTGTAAATTTGTCTTCTTGGTTTTCTAATGGAGTTCGTGAAGAGAGACAAGGCTAGCCGTGATAGGATTAGGGTGCAGAACAGCAAATGTTGCTGGGTCTATGTTTTTAGATACCTGGTTAGTTGCTTTCTGGTTACTATCTTGAGAATTGCAGATGCTCTCAAGGGAGTTGACGTAGGCAAGTTCACAATGGTGCCTTTTGAGAATAATTTGGCTGAAATCTTCGCTTGTGAGAAGTTCCATTCCCCAAGACCACCAAAGTTGTATCTCAGCGTAGTAGTTTATAGGATATGGGTTTCATATGAAAAGCGGCGGAAACACGAACGTATGGAAACAGGGCAGTTAAGGAATGTGAGTGTTCAATTGAACATAGCTGAGATCAACAAGGAGTTTTTGGTGTGGTGGGAGCTAATTAAAAGCATCACGACGAGGCATAAAGACTGGCTAAGAGGAGAAGTTGGACATGATGCTGAATGTGGAGAAAACAATGGGAAGCTGCAGATCGAAGGACAGAGAACACCTCCAGCTTTGTTTTACATGAAACGGTCAAGAGAAACTCTATATGCAGCGCCTCTTCTAAAAAATGACACCAGGTCGAGTTACAAATCCAAGGCGATGAGAGTCTTGACCTTATATGTAACCGAAGTGGTCATGGGGAGACATCCATACTCTCAGGGAAGGAGAACGTACACTTGTAAATGGACTAAGCAGAGGTTCGTTAAGGTCAAAGAAAGTAACGAAGTAGAATTCGTGATCAAGGAAGGCTCATTTGACTGGGAATCGGAGCTCTATGACTATCCGGCCAACAGAAACACTCAAGTCAGGTTCACACTTCCTCATTCTTCGAACCTTATGATGAAATTTCTTGTCTATGTAGTGTTTCATCCTGCAAGACCACCGGAGTTGCTTGTTATTATGAATAAGGTGAAGGTGACTGTGGCCGATGTGCTACGGTTATAAGTTGCATTAGTCCTAGAGGAACTGATAAGACAATGGAGAAGGATGTGATGAGTATGTCACCGGCACAACAAGAACTATCACCTTGAGGACAAGGTGACTTTTTGTGGGAGGAGTATTGATAGGATCCTAAAATGGCATTACTGGGCCATTTATGTTTATCTCATTTATTAATTGTTTTAAGCCCATTAGAGTTGATATATGTAACAAGAAAACTCATTGTCGAGTTATCGAATCGATCAACAAAATATTATTCTCAATCTTCTCTCTATCTCTCTCGTCTTCTTCCTCTCTTCTTCTCTTCCTCTTCTCCTCTATTTCTTCTGTTTCCCATCTATTTCTTCTAATTCTATCATTCAATTGCTTGATAGATTTTGGTATCTATCATAAACATTCTCACTATTGGTAAAAAGAAGTTAGCTCATCATCAAACATTAATAGGTGCTACGGTTTTCACTCAAACGAATACAAAAACGGAGACAAAACCTTAAAGAAATACAAAAACAGAAACAGAGAAAGACAGAGACATGCGGTTCATGAACCTGATTTAGGTTCATTTGAAACTAATCTTAAACAAAGACAAAGACATCAAGTTCCTCATGTTATCTCATCATCAACATCACGTGCAGATATGCAGAAACTCAGAGTAACAACCAAATTTCATCAAAATCGTGTAAGAAACAAAAAATGACTGATTTTTTATAAATTCAAAAACTCAACTGTAGGTTCCTACTCAATCTGAGAAGAATTTCATGAAACTAACGCACACAAGTCATCAAAAAAAAAGCCACATCAAACGATTTTCACACTATCTCAGAAATTGCAATTCAAACTTCAACAACAAACAAAATAAACGATTTGAGAGATTCTTACCTCGAATTCGCTATATAAAATAAGGAAGATGATTGAAGAAGTCGATTCAGTTTGCTTTAGTTTCGATTTGGCTTGATTTGGGGTTGAATGTGAATCATGTGATCAATTGAGGGTTTATCGTGTTTTGAGAAATGCCCTAACTCTTTTCTGTTCCATCGAGAGAACCACAACCGTTTCCTCAAGTGGGCTATCCTGGGCTCTTAAGCATTGGGCCTAATTTGATAAAGAAAACCAGAACTGGGCACAGCGGAGAGAAATCGGATCACCGCATAATGTGTCCGAACACTCTGTATATGCCACTGTCACTCACCGATCAACGATTTCTCGACCGTGGAATCAGCTAAGCGGCCAATTTTTTCGACATGTGGATAGTAAAAAAAAGGTATAGATTACTACAAGTGTTCAGTTTATTTAACGCAAGTTGTCTTACAAAAGTTTTCTTGATTAATTATTTCAAATAGCTTTCGGTCCGAAGCGAGAATTTCTAAATCTACACTTGATCCTTTTATAAGCTTAGAGGCTGATTTCTGTTAGATGATTTAGGTACAATATATATAGTATACATAACATAGATTAATAAGAAAGACTACTATTCTTTTTATATCTATATTCTACCCACTTTTTCAAGATGATGTAAGTTATTTTATTCTAATTTTGCTATATACAAGTTGTAGGAATAGTAATATAAGAAGTGGTTTTGTGAGAGTATCCACCAATTGGTCTCTGGTAGAAACATGAGTGACTCGTAAAACACTACACAACATGTTCTCCTGAATGAAATGATAGTTGAAAGATAGGTGCTTCATGTGTGAGTGGAAGACCGGATTTGCGTAAAGATATGTGACCCCGATATCATTACAGTGCGTCACATGAGGTGCTGGTAATGTGATGCTAGTTCAACGAGAATGGAGCAGATCCAATGAATTTTAGAGGTGGTATTTGCAACAGCCTTGTACTCTGTCTCTATGGAAGAACAAGCAATGTCTTTCTGTTTTTATTTGAAGACTATGCAATTGGGAAATGATCAAGATATAACAGGTACATAGTGATTGAAACAAAATCGTTAGTATCACCTGCCTAATCAACATCATAAAAGGCATTGAGTGTGAGTGGTAAATCCACTTAGAAAATGATATCGTGTGACATTGTACCAATAAGATATCTAAGAACTCTTTTGTCGGCCTTCCAGTGATCACTAGTTTGTTGATATATGAATTGGGATAGGTTGTTGACATCATATGCGATATCTGGTCGCGTGTAAGAAATATATTGAATGTTACCAATGATTTTGAGATACTGATATACAGAGTTTTAACCCAATATACTGCAAGTGCACAGCAAATGTTGTAGCAATCTACGGATCGAATTCACAAAGACCAAGATTTATTTAGAATGAAACTAAGTTAAGACAATGCTGTATTTGTTGTTGAAAGGTAAAAGAAAAATATCACTTAAAAAGGTGTAGAAATCAATTAAAGCAAGCATTAGGTCAAAGATAATTCGCATGAATTCAAAGATCACGAACCAGAAAATTATTTAGAGATTAAATTATGGACTGTTCTAGAACCCAAAACACAGTTATATAATCAATTCACTGCCATGATATCAACTACTTTGTCTACAACTTAAAATTCTAAACTGTCGTTTAGACTTAGAATTTTAGACATGCATTAATTTCAAGTTTCTTATGATTACAAAATGCCTTAACATTAGCATTCGTTGGCGAATGACGTTTTCCTCACCTATGTTCTTTCATGCTTTTAAACAAATACTTTCGATTTGTTAAAACAACCTAAGATTAGAAACTAGGTAGCTAATAAAGTTTCACCAATGAGATCAACAATAGATGAAGAAACCACAAATATAATTTCATATCTATGTCTAATTCAATGATTTATGAACTCTTTTAGAACCCTAAACCTAACTATGAAATTACTTAGATGTAGAAGCACATAATAAGCAAAGAGATGAAGAAAAACTCATAATCAATAAATAAAAATCCAAAAGGATTTAGAAATCTTTTCGGAAATGTAGAATCAGAGATTCTTCTCCCCAAAGCTTACAAAGATCCAAAAACAAAAGAAAGAATAGAAAATAACGTGTTTTCTCAAAAAGTGGGTAAAAACAATATATATATTGGGTTGAGATAGATTGAGCTATGATGATTCTAGGACAAAACATAAAGTTACAGGTTGCCATTTTTCATTTGAGAAACTGGATCGATCGATTTGGTATTGGATCAATCGATCTAAATAGTCTCTAGAAATCTTCAACAAGTGGATCGATCTAAAATCTCTAGGGACTTTTTTCTGCAAATGCTTCATCTTCTCGCTAGGCAGGACCGTCTTCACGAAATCTAGCATAACTTTTGATCGCACCGTTAGATTGACTTCAAATAAATTCCAAACGAAAGCTAACTCAAAAATCTAGCGTGTGTCCAAAATTAATTTCGATCCATTTATGGATAATACTTCAACGAATGTCAAACTTTTGATGTCCCTACAGAATTCTGCATCAACATATGTTCGTTTGCATCCAAAATAGCTCATTTTCTCCCAAATTGACCTAAAACCTAAAAAGACTCCATAAAAGGACCAAAAGACTCTAAAAGAACACTTTGAATCGAAAAACCATTGAAAAGCTTGGGTTAAAAAGACTCCAAAACGCAGTATATCAACTTCTCCAGACTTAGCATTTTGCTTGTCCTCAAGTAAACACTAAGTTCAGAGTCAAAATTTGAAAACAGAGGAACTTATGAACTCTCAAGAACGCCACATGACCAATACTTTTGAATCTACATACCACAAAATCAACATTACATAGTATATCAATATACTTACCACATGCTTAACAATCGTCCCAAATACGGTTCAACACCCCTTAGAGAAATCAGAATTCTCCATTGTTGACTCATTTAATTCATCTCATCGAAGGAGTATCGATCAAAGAAACTATAGATGATTGATGATAAGGTTTTTAATCTTTTGATCAATCCTCAAACACACATGTCATTCCAGTACTTGAGGTGTCAATCCACTTGGGAAGCTAATGACACTTGAGAAATAGAGAACTTTGCTAAGCTACGCTAATAGAGAAAGGTTTTGTTATCTAACAGCCTAATGATAAACAAGAAAGCAAAACAAAGCAAACAAAAGAGCAATAATTGCAAAGAAAAACCGAGCAAAAGCAGAGTAGAAGTTAAACTTCAAAGATTAAATGATGGTTCAAGATCAAGGCAATAGTCATAGGGTGATTCATGTTCATGTCTAGGGTGATAAAAAAAAAAAAATTCTAAACACTCACCCTTAGGTAAGGAACACTAATAAAGATTAATCCAATCTCTTGGCACTAATCCATTTACTAAATCACATTTTAAACCCATGGTTAATGGTGTATCTATGACAAGCAAGCATTAAAAACAAGTAACATATAACCAATTAGCATGCTAAACATCTAATCTCTTAGGCTAGGTTTACTAATCTCTTATACAGTGGGTCAAACATCAACTCACATTCTCATGCATAATAAATTTCTAAAGGTAATTTCTCCACCAATGTGGTACTAAGCAATAAGCACATTCAAGCAAAAAATGATATATGAAAAGACTCATGATTATCTAAACACCATTTTCAAGCATTGAACTTCATTCAAAAAATTCATCAAACACTTGGTATGCATAAGAAAACCTAAGATCAACTTCTCCAACATGGAGGTACTAAGCATTAAACACAATCATGTAAGAAAGAGAATGAGAAGATCTAAGCCCTATTCACCCTAAACAATCACTAAAATCACCATCTTCCCTAATCTCTAACCTAAAAGATACTACTCACTAATCATTACCAAAACCACAAAATCCAAAGAGAAAGTTTGGTAAGACATGATTAGGAAGAAGATTAAACAAGAAAAAAATTAAGGAAAATGCAGAAATTCATTAAACAAAGAAAGGTTTTACAAGTTTTTCTCAAAAGAGAGAATCTTTATGGATAAATACAATAAAAGATAGCTTGCCTAATGATTTTAGGTCTTTACATATTTATACTAAATACATGGGACCCTAGAATAATAGCAAAATTGTAAATATTTGGACTTTTGGTCGAGCACATATCGGGCTCAGAGGTCGACATGCTGCTCGACATAGTGCTGCTCGATGTAAGTATCCTGTCTCTCGGATATCGGGCATCATGGTCGATATGGTGCCCGATACAAACTTCTGGTTGCGGACAGTGATGCTGAAATCGCCGTGTCGTTTGAACCACTGACCGGATTGACGTCATTTAACCTCCGTTGGAAAGCTTATTCGATCCTCTTCAACTTCTATGAAGGACGATGAGGCTGAATCGCAACGGAATACCTTCGTTCGAACCCATACATTTCATATCGACCTGCATACCGAACATGCTTCTCTTCAGGTTTGGTCGATATCGGCCATATTGCCCGATATGGTGCCCGATAACAGCTCTGGAGATGTGCTCATTTGGATCTAATTGGCGGGGACATCTTCTTGGATCACTCCCATTCTTTCAAAATGTCTCCAACAGCTCCTTTGGTACCTAAAAACATTCCATATGCAAGAAAAATGCAAACAATATCCTAAATACAACCTATGTCTATAAGATAAAGAAAATGGGACAAATGATCAGAAAAAAATGCAAGAAAAGACCAAAACATATACTAAATACAGTCCTAAATGGTGCAAATATAAGAGACATCATCTCCCCAACACTTGCCTTTTGCTTGTCCTCAAGCAAACAAAGACAAATGAGAGAGAGAGAAGTCTGAAAGTGGGAGCTCAAAACTAATGATGTCAATGCAAGAAATAATATCAATATCCAAGTTATAAGTTCTAAGATGCAAGAAATTTGTTCTACTTCAAAAGCTTTAGCCATATCTATCATAACAAACAATGAATTTAAGCTTAGCCTACACAAGCATTCAAATCACCCAACTCTTTAACATTCATCAATAGTAACCAACGGATTTTGCTCATGTAATTCAAGTAAAAGCATTTGGTTAAAGGACAAAGCTAAGAGATCAAAATGATCTCTTTTAATGTGGGTTTTAGATGCAAGGGACCTCTCTTTGAAGGAATGAACTTTGGCAAAATGCTAAGGGTAATGCTCAACCTATGCATACAAGGATAAACTCTCATCTACCTGATAGCTTGCTATATTGTAGTGTTTTGGGATGCATTTTATACATGTTTTCTCTTG